TGTTGTTAGTTTGCCATGCTCCCCTACACATATCTATTGCTCTGATGCCTCCTTTTAGACTATTTTTGAATCGCCATGTGAGAGTAGGTGGCAATATAAATTTCCTAAAATAAAACAAATAAAATATTTTTTGGATTTTTTTAAAAAAATAAGTTTACATTTTTATATGTACTTTTATTCTCTACCTTTTATGCTTTTTAATTTCCTGTACCTCACCCACTTCATGCTGAACTTCGATCATAATAAAGATTTGATTTGGTTTGATTTGATTATGTTAAAATTAGGAGGAAGGATGTTTAAAAAAGCCCTTCAATAAACAAGCCCATGCCCTGGCAACTCTGTTTTTAATCAAAACAAGTTGCCCCGTGACTTTTCAAAGAATGGTAGCTACAGTAAATGCGCAATCAGAAGGTGTGTTGAAGTGTGCAATCCCCACAGCACTCCTTGCTGCCTTGATTGCAGAGTCCTACCCTGGCACCATAACAAGTCAGTAACTAATACTCTTTAATGCAGGGGTGGGCAAATGTGGCTCTTTTACAACCTGTGGACTTCAACTCCCAGAATTCCTGAGACAGCCAAGCTGGCTGGCTTTAATGCTTTGTGGAAGGATAAATGAAGAGAAACAATTAGCAGATTTCTCTGGCTTCATTTCCTTTTCTCATTAAGGGTTGCCTGCCAGCAGGCAAACAACCATCCATCACTATATGCCTGGTGTGGGAGCAGAGATGAGTGGGTGGGTGCTTGGAATGGGGTATTTGGCCACCTGTCGTATGACTTCTATCAGTCGTGCTATTTCTGAACACTGCCTCTAGCACTAGCATTCTTCCAAAGGAATGCTAAGCCCTTATCCCAAAATAGCCCACCTGATGGCTCACAGGTACAGAGAAAGGGAACAGGGCAAAATGAAAGAAATCATCAATAACAAGGAAGTTCCATTGTCAGCTATTGACTGTGGACAGCCTGTCTGGAGCAGGCAAATGGAGCACTTCCTTCCATTATAAAGACACTAAAAAGTACAGCTGTGTAAGACCCCTTGTTGGCAGAAGCTACAACCCACGTCCGAGAAAACCTAGTTCTCTTTCCAAATTTAGAATCTGTTTTCTTTTTGTCCTGATTTTTGGAGCACACATCTGGTGCTTTTTCTTTTTCTTTTAAATGTACAGTAGTGGCAATGTTGTAAAAGCTCAGTCCTCCTACTGGACAGTGATTCATTTCTAGAAGGAACACATTTTGAAATCCCACTGCAACCTGAGATAGTCTTACTCAATTTCACATGACCCTTTTAAGTTCCAGAAAATTGGTGTTGTATATGCTTAATAGCTACGGCGATTTTATATGCCTTTTATTGGAAAAAAAACACCCTTCAGAAGGATGCGGAAGTATGCCTCAATGGCTAGATTAATTTTATATTTAAAAGTATGGTAAATGGGATACAGAATTTAATTCTAATTGGAAACCATTCTTGGATTATAATTATATATAGAAAGCATGGCACATCCAAAAGTTGGATTTTATATTTTAATTCTATGTACAATTTAGTTTGCTATTTACAGTCTTGAATGATATTAACCAAACATTTGAACTCACGTTTAACAATATAAAATGGATATAAAAGTTCTTGTAACAACATAAGCTTCCAATACCAATTCTTTGTGATTTAGTGTGTTAATATGTTCATATTTTGTTACCTGTATTTGATTCTTTTATCCTTCTATCCTTTATTTCTTATTTCTTTCAAAAATACAATATAATGGGAGAGAGAGAAAAACCCTCTAAATAGTGCTGAATATGTAATTTATTATTAAGGAGCCTATGTAACAGTGGTTACAATTTTTTTTACTACTGGTTCTGTGGGCGTGGCTTGGTGGGCGTGGTGTGGCTTGGTGGGCATGGCAGGGGAAGGATACTGCAAAATCTTCATTCCCACCTCACTCAGGGGAAGAATAGGGCAAAATCCCCATTCCCTCCCCAGTCCTGGGGGAAGGATATTGCAAAATCTCCATTCCCACCCCACTCTGGGGCCAGCCAGAGGTGGTATTTGCTGGTTCTCTGAACTATGCAAAATTTCTACTATTGATTCTCCAGAACCTGTCAGAACCTGCTGAATTTCACCCCTGCTATGTAATGCTGGCTAGGACTTTCTGATGTCCCTAGAGAAATTAGGGATTTGGTGTTTTCTAACCCAAGCCAATGGCCCTCTGGGGCAGATCACAGCAATTGGACAGAAGAGGCTGTGCCCACAGCATTCTATAGTGGGAACAGAAGCAGGATAGACCCATATGATACCATGTCAGCAATCACATTGTCTCTGAAGGATGTGTAGATCACATCCATCCCAAACATTGTAACAGGAGAAAAGGGAAAGCCCTGGAACAGTCGGAGATCATTTTGATGAAGGCCAGTGCATGAGCACATGATGTCACAAAACAAATGATTAATAGAGCATGTTTATGCCAGTTAGTGGGATTGCAGCATAATTCATAAGAACTCCAATCCCCTTCAGCTCCCTATAATTCAAGCACACAGACATTCTTTTCTCTATGAGGATTATCTGGATTGCACAAGCAGCAGTTTTAGTCACAGTACATTTCCCCTGCGTGAGATTGATTATCCACAATTTATATTTACAGTGATATCAGCTGAAGCTTCAACTATTGTTATCTTTCAGTTAGAAAAAAAATGGCTCTCTGGGGTAGTTTAACAGCAGGGCAAACAGGCCACATAGCTGTAAACATTTTTTCAGTTCATTCTCATTGTTAAGACTAAAATAGTTTTTTTAAAAAAAAACAATTTGGCAAACAATAGCTTAATACAGTCTGTCCTAGCCTGGACCCCTTAAAACATAACTTTTCCCAAAATTCTCCATCAAATTTCAATTCGATGGATTATTATTCTTTTCTTGACTATCCAGTTCAAGCAAGAACAATGTGTGATTAATAATAAATCAATATTCTATCGTGAACTTTGACTTTAATTTATCAGTAGACCAGAATATTTTGGTGAGCTGATACTGACTGAATATTCACTGGCATAGGCAAAGGACTGCTGATGGGGGAAGAGCTGTAGACCGTTCATCACTAAAGTTATCATAGATCATATCCACAATATTTTTCCACCCTCAATCTGAAAACCCAAAAAAATGCATCGTATTAGAAAAAGGATGCCTAGATGCCACAAACTGCCCGCTAAAAATATTTATCTATCCCAGGGCAGAAAAACAGCAATTGTAAAGAAGAGTTGTAAACCCACAAGAACAGTGTCCCCAAGCAAGCTACTTCTGAGAAAAAAAACCCTTAAGATCAACATCCCTCCTGCTTTAACTTTTCATCCAGGCAAAAGAAGGTACATTTATTTATTTATTTATTGTAAAAAACTGTCCAAGAAATGCTTTCCCATCCCAACAAGAGATCTTCAAAAGCCATCACAGGGCATTAGCATTAGGGTGCCAGACGCTGAGTCCACATAGTAAGTTCACAAACGCCTACCTTTTTGGGAAGTGCCCATTGTCCTTAAGCAGACCCTGCGGCAACCCCCGCATTACGTGTGTGGAACCTCCCCCCCCCCAAATCTGATTTTCTTTCTCCGCAACGCCTTAGCAAGCATCCAAGGGGCGAAGGGAGGGGGAATTTTCAAAGCCTCCTTCCTTACTCTGGCTTTCAATGACAGGGAGCAGAAACTGTAAAGATCTCCCCGTTATTGTCCTGAAGCCCATCAGATCCCGCCCCTAATACAGCCCCTTATTTACTACAGTGAGGAGGGAGGGACTTCTCTACTCCAGGCTAGGCACCTGCAAGATGGTGGAAATCCTAAAGTGAAAGCGGGGTTGGTTATTATATATAGCGTTTCCTCAAAGCATTGCTCTTTCGGGAGTTCCCCCCTCCCGGCCAAACTCGGGCAAACAGACGCGTCCCCTCCCACGCCCCGCGGGGCTCGTTTCCACGAAACGAGGAGGAGAGGAGTCGCATCTCCCGCCGTTTCTGAAAGTACCCGTTTCCAGATAACGCGCCGCGCCAAGGAATTCCCCCATTCTGCTACTTCCACCTGCATCTACTACTCCCCAGGGGTGAAATCCAGCAGGTTCTGACAGGTTCTGGAGAACCGGTAGCGGAGATTTTGAGGAGTTCGGAGAACCGGTAGCGGAATAATAATAATAATAATAATAATAATAATAATAATAATAATAATAGTAGTAGTAGTAGTAGTAGTAGTAATAGTAATAATAGTAATAATAGTAATAATAGTAATAATAGTAATAATTTTATTTATATATGTTGAGTACTTTGGCGAACCGGCAAATACCACCTCTGGCTGGCCCCAGAGTGGGATGGGAATGGAGATTTTGCAGTATCCTTCCCCTGCCATGCCCACCAAGCCACACCCACTAAGCCACGCCCACAGAACCGCTAGTAAAATAATTTGGATTTCACCACTGCTACTCCCCCTTTCTAAAATCTCAATTTCAACCCCAAACTCTCCTGCTGTAGAAAGAACAGGAATTCCTGGAAAAACCTCCTTTTCCTTCCCTTTCCCCCCCCCCCCCCCCCCGCTTTCCATTCCAGCACTCCATCTGCAAACGTAACGGCGATCCTGGAAAAGTTGCATCTTGCAAGATCGGAGTTGGTTCTCGCGCGCCCTGCCCCCAGCAACAGCCCGCCGATCAAATGCAAAAGACGCGTGGACGCGTTTTAATTTTTTAAGAGTAGTAACTCCTCCACCCCACGCTTGTAGGGATCCAGGAAGGATAAATTTGGGGGCGGGGGTGGAATCTGACGAGAGGAAGAGAAAAAAAGAAAGAAAGCCCCCCACGCTTTTCTTGGGGCAGCCCGCCTGAAGCTTTTAAGAGGTCGGTCTCAGTGGGATCGATGGGTTCCCCCCCCCGCCTCCACCAGCGATCAAAACGCCCCGCAATCTTTGCCAAGAAAGAAAGCTGCTCCCCGAGCGTTGCATCCCACCCTCGCGAGTGGAAGTGGGCCAGTGCAGGAAGATCCGTAGACTGACCTGTCGCCTGCGGAACGAGAGCCGGCCGCCTCCTCCCTTGGCTCGGCGGCGGCTGCAGAAGAGAAGCGGCGACTGGTGCACGGAGCCGCGCGGCCGGCCGCTGCCTCACTCCATTGGAATGTCTGAGGTAACTCAACTCGGGCGTCCTTGCGCGCTCAGCGACCGAGCGGGGCTTGCAGCGCTGCGCAGTTTTGGTGGGGCTTCCTTCGCCTTCTCTTTCCCTTCCCTTCCGAGCCTTGCCAGCAACTTTTACACAAGGTGCCTCTTTTACCCCCTGTTTTCTCTGGGGAAGGGAAAAAAAAAAACAAAAAACAAGCAGGCTATCGCAGAAGAAAACAATGGCTCGATTCAGGGACCGGGTTGAAAAGTGGAGCACGCACAAGCGCGCCACTATTGTGCGCGCCCTTGCCAACCGGGAGAAGAAAGGCTTGTGTGAGGCACAAGAACTCAGGGGGCAGAGCGAGGGGATATTGTCAAGTTTCCGTCTGTTTCATGGAAAACTAGGGAGTTGGCGGAACGGAGCATCTTTGCATTTAAAAGACCGCCCCCCTCCCGTTAAATAAGAGGAGGGAGGGAGAGAGAGAGAGAGCGAGAGCGCGCAACATCTTGTATAGCGGTTTTGGAACTTGGATTTCAGAAATGTTAACGCTGGCTGCAGGCAAAAAAAAAAAAGGCATTTTATTTTGATAAATATTGAATTCGGAATATTTTACAGAGAGATGCAAACAGTGTTTTGTCCTGATTATGCACTAAATATGCACCAAAGACAAATTCCTTGTGTGTCCAATCACACTTGGCCAATAAAGAAGTCTGTCTGTGTCTGTCTGTCTGTCTATCTGTCTATCTATCCATCCATCCATCCATCCATCCATCCATCTATCTATAATAGCCTCCTTCGCTGCCCCTGGACTGTACATTTAATTTATGATACTCCCCTCCAACATTAAAAAAAAAACAACCATGAAGCGGATCTGAATTTGTAAAGTTCTACTTCATTGTTACAGGTAAACAGTATTTCTACAATGTAGATGATTAACAAATATTAACAGTTTAATTGAGAAGTGAGACTGCGTCAGTCTACAGTTGATCAAATGATAATTATTGTCTGTTTTATGAAAGCAATTTCATTTTTGTACCTTAGGATTGGAGGAACATTGTCCATGGGGTAGCGATGGGTCGGACACAACTTCATGACTAACAACAACAACAACAGCCACTTTAGGATTAGATGAACAGGCAGGTTACTAATCAATGAGATATAAGAACCTTTACAAATAAAATGTAAATTTTAAAAAATGAGCAGAACTGGGCCTTTCACAGTGAAGCGCTTTCAAATATTAATTAAAGAATGTGAGACCGCATTGAATTCTCCCACTTGAATTAATTTCAGTAGGAGCTACTAGCTAGCAAGATATTTAAATATGTTAGGCTGAAGCAAGTTGTTCATACTGACTAATTAAAATATTATAATGCCCCTTCCTAGTTATTTTCATTACTCAATTAATGGTCTTACATCATCTAACTTGATGCTGATTTAATGTTTTACTGCACAACCCCACACATTTTTGGAATAAAACTGGTGTGGTAAGTATAAAAGATTGTAGTCTTTATTTCTGACTAAAGGCTTAGGGCCAGGATATTTACGAGACCGCCTTCTGCCACCAATAGCCTCCCACCGGCCAGTACGCTCGCACAGTGGGCCTCCTCAGGGTGCCGTCCGCCAGACAATGTCGGCTGGCGACCCCCAGGGAGAGGGCCTTCTCTGTGGCGGCGCCCACCCTCTGGAACAACCTCCCCCCAGAGATACGCACAATACCAGACCTCCGGATTTTTCGTCGGGCCCTGAAAACCTATTTATTTCAACTAGCTGGGTTGGCTTGAGTTAAATTTTAAATTGATTTTAAATTGGGTTGTTTTAATTTACGGCCAAAATATTTAATTATCTTAAACTGTTTTTAAATTTTGTTTTTTACTCTGGCTGTTCACCGCCCTGAGTCCTATTGGAGAAGGGCAGTATAGAAATGGAAACAAATAAATAAATAAATAAATTTCTAATTGTATGCTTTGATTGGTTCATTGTTCTGATTTCCTAAAAGTTTGCATACCACTGTGCTATTTCTAGTGGACTCCTGCTTTCCATTTCTGCACAAGGATCAGTTTGACAGCTGTCACCAATGGGGTAGCCAGGATGTGACAGAATGTTTGCTGGCCTCCTTTAAGCTCTTTAGCTACATCCATTTTGGATCTTGTGATACCAAACTCCTAGTGACCTATCTAATTTCACACTGTGGTTTGGCATTCTTTAGCAGCAACTTCCAATTACTCTAATTAGCTTGGTATCTTGTGGAGTTTTAGGAAAACCTGTGATAATAACTCATTTCATTTCCAGAAATGAAAATTGGGAAACTTGCTGTATGCTGAAGGCTTCTTGTAACAGTGTTTTTCACTCTCAGCAATGTTAAGATGTGTAGACTTCAACTCCCAGAATTTCCTAGCCATCATTTTGGGAATTGAAGTTCACACATCTCAAAGTTGATGAGGTTGAGAAACAGAGATAACTCTAGCAAATTGATGGTATGTATGAACCAATGTAACAAACTGTTTCTGATTGCTTTTCTTAATAGAACATCAAGAAACTGCTGTTCCCTTTTCTAGAATCATAAAGGGATACATTGACTAGATGGCATGAACTGCCAATGTTTTTAAAGCAAAAAGAAGGTGGAAGGAAAGAAAGAAAAAAAATGAGAAAAAGGATGATGTTGCTTTAAGAATCACTAACGTTAATCAATTAATTAAATAGAGCCAGTTTGGTCTAGGCGCAGGGGTGGGCGAATGTGGCTCTTTTACAACCTGTGGACTTCAACTCCCAGAATTCCTGAGACAGCTTGGCTGTCTCAGGAATTCTGGGAGTTGAAGTCCACAGGTTGTAAAAGAGCCACATTTGCCCACCCCTGGTCTAGGGCAATGATGGCTAACCTTTTCCAGACAGAGTGCCCAAAGTGTGCTAGGGTGTCTGCAAATGCGCACATGTGTGCCTGCGAATGTGCACACCCAAACCCCCAAAATGCAATGCGCGCACGGTCCCCACACATCCGCCTTGCCCCCCATGCATGCATGCATATCCCCAGCATTTGCCCCACCCCCGGCAGAGACCCGTCAACCAGCTGGCTGGTGGGAGGTGCATGCACATGCACAGCAAAGTTGAACTGGGGCGATAGCTCGGGTGCCCACAGAGAGGGCGCTGCATGACACCTGTGGCATAGGTTCGCCATCACGGGTCTAGGGTTTAAAGTCCCAGGCTAGAAATTGGGACACCTTGGTTGACTCGATCTTCCATCCTTCCAAGGTGGGCAAAATGAGGATCCAGATTGTTGGGGGCAATATGCTGACTCTGTAAATCACTTAGAGAGGGCTGTAAAGCACTGTGAAGTGGTATATAAGTCTAAATGCTATTGCTATTACTACGTTGGGCCAATCACTTTCACGCAGCCCAATTCATTTCCCAGCATTGTTGTTGTTTTTGTCATCAAAAATAGGAGTAAGGTATATTGGATATGTTCCCCACCTCGAGTTATTTGTAACAATAATACAGGCAGGATACAAATAAATTAGTCAAACATTTAAATTCAACCACTATGTTTTTAGGCTCATTCATTGGGTGTTCTGCTCACTCGGTATCTGAAGCATGTCATTTCCTAAATAGTTCTCATAGCCTGTGCTACCTTGTTGTGTATGCTAGCCCAAACACCAACAGTTGTGTGCCATGTGTAGTATCTGTTGCCAGGGACAATGTAATAAATATGATATTGTGCATCAAAAAATATGGCATATCTCTTGTTAGTGATTTACATTTTACAACTGTTGGAGTTGGGTGGCCTTGTGAGTCCAATAAATAAATGCTTCATTCTTAAAATAATACTACAGTCAAAATTAATTACATATCTGTATTCCATTATATGCCAAAGGGGCACAGAATGCTGTTACCATCTCACAAAAGTGGTACCTATTTATCTACTTGCATTTACATGTTTTTGAACAGCTGGGTTGGCAGGAGCTGGGACAAGAACAGTGCTTGAGTCTGGAATTGCCAATCTTCTGGTCAACAAGCCCAGCTGCTTAACCATTAGGCCACCATATCCCCTATTCGATATTATATTATATATGTATTTATAGACTAAATATGTAAATTAAAAGTTTCTAATTGGTCTAATAAAAGGCATGTTCACATTTGTTTTATACAAATATGTATTAAAATCAACAAACGGGACTAATATTTAGTTGAAAATTCTAAAGAAATTAAGCAGTTATTTTCATTTTTTGCAGATTTTTTTTTCAGAATTTCAAACATTGTTTAAAATTAAAGACTTGATGAACATTAAGCATTTACCCACTCCTTGAAATTTCAGCATGGTGATATGTCTGTGGCAACATGAATACGTTTTTTGATCATGTGAATTCAGACACATTTTATAGCAACTTGATAACAACATGATAACGCGTGGAAATGGAAGAGATACATGTGCATGCATAGCCGAACAGTTATTAAATTAGTCACTTCCCTATTGACTTTGCTTGTCAGAAGGTTGCAAAAGGGAATCACATAACCCTGGGAGACTGCAACAGTCATAAGTATGAACCAATTGCCAAGCATCTGAATTTTGATCAAATGATCATGGGGATGCTGCAAAGGTTGTAACTGTGAAAAACTATCATAAGTCACTTTTTTCAGTGCTGTTCTAACTTTGAATGGTCACTAAATGAATGGTTGTAAGTTGAGGATTACCTGTAGCAGGTTGCTGTCTCTAAATTGGACTAAGGTCACATTTCTACGTTCCAAGCAGAACACTATCCTACTGTTTAGCTGAGCTTTACCAAGCAAAGAATTATTTACTTTTAAAAATTGCACCACTGCAATTTTTTTAAAGAAATAGTATCACCTATTTTATCTGGTGGTAAACACTGCTACAAATTCATCATGACAACACCCATTGCTATAAAATGAATCATTTGAAGGCCGTGCAACTGGCAGCCTCAAGCCATACTGTATAGCAGTTTCCGAAAGTTTTAATTGCATTCCTTGGATCCCTTCTAAAAATTGCAACCAATTGAAATTTCATAAGAAACCTA